CCACTGCCGGACTTTTTTTTTTTTCCGATTCTCTTAGCCATATACAGCTTTGCTGTAAAAGAAGAGAGCTCTCGCCTCCAAGTAACTTCATGAGAATGCACATGGGACCTTGTGAGTTCGCCTACAGTGGTTATGGTCATGGAGGAAGGAAAAATAAAAAAAATCAGGAGGGAGCATGACGTCACACACCCAGCCTTGGCAAGCCAATCCGTTTTGAAGTCATCAAAGTCGGCCCACCACGTGACCTTTTGCGCAAAATCACGCCAGCAACGAGACTTGCCGATATATCGGAGTACGGCACCCGGTAGTTTTTAATCCAAACGCGCTGGTTCGGCGCAGACCCGGCCGGCTCACGCAGGTGGTTCAAAGGCGGATCAGCACCAAGTGTACTAAAGCCTACCACAAGCTCTGACGTTTTGATCACGTGTTGGGCCGCCAAGGCGGACTTCACTCGTGTGACGTAATGCTCCGTCCTCTCTTTTCCTTCCTCCATGGCTATGGTGTTCTACTGGTGACCAGAAGGTCGCGGGATTTAATCTCGACCACAGCTGCAGTATGTAAAATCAAAGTTCGTTTCAACAGGAAATTGTGGATAGACTCAGGGCTAAAAGCTGCTCTAGGCAGTTTGACTTAGTTCCTGAAGAGCCTTGCATTCGCAGCATATGACGTTTACATTACTAATGGGCAAATGAGGTCATAATTATACGAATATGTAATATGCGAGTAATACTGCAATACTTGTAGTTAGGATTACGTCAATTATTAGAAATATAATCGAAAAGCCACCGTGAAATTCGCATTGAAATGTTTAGTACAGCATGAAAAATTCACAATACAAAGAGGTACTGCAATTGCAAGGTAAAAATTCAACAATAAGAACAGCATTTTGTAAACCTGAAAGTTTTAGTGAAAATACTTAAGTTTCACAGAATAACATGTCACGTAAAGAGGACGGAATTCGAAATAGAAATGTGTGCAATATAACAAGATAGGCAAAGGTTTGCACGATCAAAGCATATGAACGCGAGAGCTACAACATAGACGCAAAAAAAAAAAAAATTGATGCTGCCACCGATTTAGGGGCGCCTTAAAAAAACCATGCGATCAGAATTGGTTAAAAGCATTCCACTGCGTGAAGTCTCCCCTAATCATATCATGGTTTTGACACGTAAACCATGGAATAATTATGATTAAGCGACATGTTTTACTCGTATAGCATTGCCCTTCTGTTTGCTTCTTTCTGTTTGCACGAAAGACCACTCCTGCGATAGCCCAAATTTTATTTATTTATTTATTTATTTATTTATTTATTTATTTATTTATTTACTTGTTTATTTATTTATTTATTTACAGAATACTGTCAATCCCCCCATGGGGATTATTACAGGGGTGAGCATCACTGTCAGAACTTTCGACGTTTGAATCAAGAAAAAGCAGAATAATAAAGAACACATAATCACTGAACACAGCATTACGGCATAGAACAATCATACATAGTTATTTGAACGATAACCGTACGAAGTACACCAATGGTACACCAACAAAAAACAGGAGTCGAGAAGAAACGAAGCACAGAAAGAAGAAAACACAGATCGAGTATTGTTATCAAGGAACCATATTAAACAATAAATATATGCAGACAAGTGTTTTAGTATGACAATTGGAAACAGGAAGGACTGCGTAAAGAAAAACAGGTGATCAGTGTACATGCTAACTAGGTTAGAATAGATCAGTGCCTTCAATTAGTTTCATAAAGTTCTCTAATGTTGGCTGCTGTGTAATGACTGGATTCAGTGTGTTCCATTCTCGAATTACGTGCGGGAAGAACGAATAGGAAAAAGTATTATTACTAAATGAGTATTCTTCGAGTTCCAAATTGGGTTGTAGTATGTGAAAATAAAATAAATTATGAGCCGGAAGTCACATCAGGGAAGCTAAACGGGATGAAAAATTCTTGAATGTGTGATGTCACTGGAGCCAACGTGCGAAGAAGGGCACTATTTGTCTTATTGAATGCTACCTTCAAGTTCAAATTTGGAAGTTGAAGCCTTGAAGTTCAACTTCATCAAGTTGTAGCGTTGATGAAGACAAGCCCACTTGTATACGAACGCCGGCTCCATAACACCACGTGTTCACGAAGTTTTACGTCTCTTTAAGCTTCAATCTTCCCCTGCACCCCTATCTTTATTAGACGAGAGAAGTCTGGCATGATTCGGAAGTCATTGAAGTGGCATCATGATAATTCCTTGTTTCTTCTTTCTTTCGTCTTCTTGAACGCAGTGGACGCTCCCGCCTCAGTCTGAACTCACAGCGATCAACTGCGGCCTCCCACGACAATGGCAGCACCTTCCTCGTGTTTTCCGCGAATAGAAATAATAATAATAACTGACAGGGTTTCTTATGCATTCCCCTAGAACAGCTAGAAGGCGAATGCGCCCTTCTCCTTTCCTTCAACGTATTGACCTGTCCGTCCCCCTACGAAAGCTTTCTGCCCTAACACGCTTTCGCGTTGCCTCCAAAATGGGAAAGAAGTGCAGGCATTCTGCTACAGACCTGATTTTGCACGGCCTCCGAGACCGGTCCACCTTTGACCGAACGACCAAGTCGTGTGCCGACGACGTCATCACCTGACGTCACACGCTTTGGCGATCTGTGTAGCCATGGGGACGTCACATGTACGGTGACGTCATCAGACTCTGCGCATCATACGTGTTTATGCCGCCAACGCGTGATGCCGATGGTCAATTTTCGCGTTTAATGAAGCCTCTAATGATGTCTCCTTTAAAAATAAACAGCGCGCAGTACGGGACGGTCCGGAATTCTCGCAGGAGGAAAAGAAAAAAAAAAAGACACCTTCGTAACGAGCAGGGCGCGCTCCGCCGTACGCGCGATACAGAAGAAACAAAGAAGCAAATGAAAAAAAAAAAGGAACGAGGAAAGAGAAAATAAAAGCCCCCGAAATTGCGGGCAGCGGGAAGGTCAGTCTGCCCGTGTAAGCGTCGCTTACACGTTACGAGTCTTGACAATGGCAAGAAAGGTGGAGGGTGGGAGATACGTAACAAAAATTAGCACGAAACGAGAAATACGGTATCTTAGTTCTCTCTCTCACACACACACACACACACAAAAAAAAAAAAGCTTGCCATGAGCCTATTACACCACTTACAGTCGTCGTTGTTTGCTTTTTCTTCTTTATTTAGTACCCTTTCACTGAGGTGTACTCGTGTTTTGTGACCACATCTTCACTCTCTCGCACGCTCAACCTCCACATCACAACGCTCATATGCAAGCTCGCGTTCACTTTTGTTTCCATTTTTGTTTCATACTTTAATACCCTACCAAAACGATCATATCTGGGTGCGTTTCCGCCAGTTGGTCAAGGGCGATCAGATGCGCGTTCTGCACAGCTGCGGCGGCTGCGGTGGACGACCTTCCCTTAGCAGTGAACCCTTTTCCTCGCCCGGCGGGCCCTTCAAACCGACACCCTTGGCAGCGAAAAAGTGGCGAGGGTTGTGCACTCGCAGATTCGAGAAAGGGTACGCGTGTACGCTTCACGCATTGGCAGTATCTACCCGATATCCGTTCTACCTCTGCATGGCGGCGGAATTGAAACTCGCATCTCGGCTGAGCAAGAAAAATGCGTAATTCCCTTCTTCTGCAACTCCGCGGGTTCTCGACAGAAGCAAGCGAACGCCTTTTTTTTTTTGCTCTCTCTCTCTGGTGAAGAACTGTAGCACTTCAAGGCAGTTCTCTTGATCCAGCACGCCGTACCTTGGTAAGCAGCGGAGCGTTCCAGAAGTACAGTGCTCCTTTCCTGGCGGATCTTCTTCGACAGTGCGTGAACGTCTCGTCTTGCTGGCAAAAAAACTACAGTGTCTTGTGTACGTAAACGTCCTGCCTCTTGTGCTCAGCGCGCTACACGTCCGAGTGGCGGGGCGTTCCAGAAGTCCGGCACTCTTCCCGACGTGGCCACCCAGCTCCAGCCCCGCTGAAAGCATCGAGACTTACTCACTGTGCACCCGCGAAACGGATCATCGTCTTCACGCTTCTCCTTCAAACGCCTGCCAAGGACGTCGTCTCCCCGACTGGCCATTGTCTTCGCTGTTCCTCGTGTGCGCGAGCGTAAGCGCGCTGGGACCATTTCAAGAGAGTGGTGTTTTTAGCGTGGCGTGACCATTGTCTGCGTTCGTAAGGCCATTCCTGTACAGCGCTGCCAGCGCTGCTTCAAACCAGTAAGTGAGCTTTGTCGTCCAGTGGTCAGTACAGCTGACGCGGCCGGAGGGCGAAGCCGTCTACAGGGAGGTCCTGCTCTCCGAGAAAGGCGCGAGTCGGTCAGAATCAGTGGTGACTGTGTATCTAGTCTGTACCAGTGTGAATACAAAGAACTGCCCCTCGTTTCTCTTGGCAAGCGAAGCTGCTGGGTCATCGAAAGCAGTAGCCACTTCGTCTTGAGTCTGTGCTTGCGTGGACACAAGAGCAGTGCGCCACTAAGCCCCTTTGGCAAAGCAAAGCGTCCTGGTCCAGCTTGGTCGCAAGTTCCAAGGCGAGTTCATCTAGAGATTACCACTTATAAAAAAAGTGTTAGATTTGTGCGTCAACGACAGATGAAGTAGTCACCACACTATCTGTATCCCTGCATTCGTGCGTGCGCGAACGCGAACTGGACGTTTGGTCGAAGCGCGTAGTGGTCTTTTTAGAATCCCGACTTTAGGAAGGACACCCACTGCTTCGTGCAACGGCAACACATCAAGTATTCACCATACCCTCTCAACCTCTGTATAACTTGGGCAGAACACTCATTCTCCTCTCGTTAACTCGGTCACCTTGTCGATGCCGTAGGAAAAACCACCTGGCAAGCCCAAGTTGCTGGAAGACTTGTGGGGGGCCCGTACATCAACGACGAGGCTCAGCAGTCTGCAACGCGCATTCTCTGTGTTTCTATCAACGTGCACTTGTGGACCAGTCTATCTAGCTGACATCTGCAGGAACTAACAAAAAAAGGAATCTAGGTAAAGATCTCGAGAAGACTAGTCGTTTTATCTGCGTATCCCCACGTGGGTGTGGGGTAGTGCTGGGGTGATCGTACCAGAACTGCCATGGGTCAAGTATGGAGCAACCTGTGGGACGTCCAGTTGCCGTTCAACTGCTACGAGACGGCGCACACATGGACGCCCATGTGTCATCGGGCGTGGATCGACCTCTTCAAAGATGTGATGGCATCGACGTTCCCGCTGCACCTGATCTTATACTCGGTATGCACTTTATACACTTTGTAGACGCTTCGCTTTTCCTTTCTGTATATAGCACACGTGCTGACTTTATCGCAGGTTTGCAGACAGGTCGAGGAATATACGGATATGGTTTCGTCGCAAAGTCTCGTAACCATTGATTCAGACACATGGCCGTCCGACGTCCATTCTTGTCAGAGTGGTTCACTGGGCGAGTTGGTTGGCGATTCGTGATACCTGAAATACGAGCGAGCTACTATACACAACAAGACAGGGAAAAATATTGACAAAGACTCAGAACAACACTTCCCACTTTGATTGTTGATGGAAGAGAACGGCCTATGGACACCCCTCTGCGGTGAACCAGTAGCTCACAGATCTACCTCTGTGTGCTTGTGTTAGCCATTGGTGGACTTCGTATCCATACAGACGTATATGCCTTTCGAGAATTCGCATCGCGATCGGTCCACGCGCTTTGTCAAACGAGGTACATTGAGGTCTGCATGACGAGCTTTTATTTCCCACCCTTGTTGATGGAAGAGTGAGATCTAGGACAGCGTAGCCATGGCAGCTAGCACGGATTCTAATAGTCTTGGAAGATTGCCCCGTCCAGACTACTCTGCGTACACTGCCAATGTGATAATGGTATAGTGCGGTTCAGCTCTTGCAGGGTGGTTGATTATGGTATGGCGACGCCACTGTTAGCTCACTCCGGTCGAAGCGGATGTATGCCGACTACATTTGTTGATTATGGAAGAGTTGTTATGGTTCACTACAGCAGGCATTGTCGGAATGCATATTCTAAGAATAATTGTAGGGAAAACTAAGCACCCCTGTTGCGCTGCCCGTTAGTGCATGCTCTAAAAGCAGAAATATTACCGTTATGCCGAGGATCAACTGAATCCAACTTACCAAGGAAGAACGAGTAAAAATGACTTCTTAGAATGTATTCGCCTGTCTCATTGTCCTCTAAATCTTTTTCTCGTTTTCATGGGTGTCTTCATGCGTTTCTTGAACCATACTGCGTTTTTGTTTCTTGTTTTGATTCAGTGCCTGTTCATTTGTTGCTTGATCGGTCTATTTTTTGTGTGTTTGTGTGCATGTGTTAGCAAGTGTTTGCTCGCTCAAAAGAAACAGCTAGGTTAGCCGACTGCTTTGCTTGCTCGTGTGATCCCAATAAGACAGCTTGTTTTTACTTGCATGCTTGTTTGTTTGTTAATCGCTTAGTCAGTTATTGGCTTAGTCGGTTATCTATTTGAATCGAACAGCTTTCTGGGTGCTTACCAGCGCAAACGATAGGGCAGGAGGGGGCAGGAGAAGAGACGAGACAGAGCGCTCTGTCTCGTTTCTTCTCCTGTCCCCTCCCGCCCTGTCGTTTGCGTTGGTAAGCACCCTTTAAGATGTTATACCAACACGCCCAATCCCACTGTCTCTTGAGCTTTCTGGGGAACATGACCTCGTTATGGAAGGTGCAGCGTTAATTAAGTGACAACAAATATCACTGAGAAGGTAATAAAACGACGGTAATGAAGTAATGTTTAATTATTTCTCTTCAAACTGTAGTTGTAGTTGTATGGTGTTTCTGCGCAGAATTGAAATAGGTTAATTGTTAATCGTAAACCATGATGTCGCATGGTCCTAGCAGACCATCACGACATATTTGGATTTTGATGTGCCTTAAGTGTCTTCACTCTTACGGACCGGCTAGGCACTTTTATTTATTTATTTATTTATTTACTTATTTATTTATTTTGTTAATACTGCTGGCCTGAATTTCCAGACCTTCAGGAGGAGTAAATGGGCTAAATTTTATATATGTACAAATGTATACGAACAATAAAAGAACTCACTTACAAAAGAACGAATAAAGTCAGTTAGGGTTTTGAATACGGCACTAAATACAATAACATAACTTGTAGTGGCAAACATTCGGTATATGAACCGACGATACACTAAATAGTGTGTGTTCAGCCTCGATATCATATTTGGGACAGGTGCCCCAGAGATAACCAGAAAGTTAATTGGTACTAATTGGTAAAGTAGCATCCTCCATGTTGGTATGTTACCTATACTTACCAGCAGCATTTGCTTATAAATTTGGGTGCACGTCAAAGAACCCCAGGTGGTCGAAATTTCCGGAGCCCTCCACTACGGCGTCTCTCATAATCATATGGTGGTTTCGGGACGTTAAACCCCACAAATCAATCATCAAGCATTTGCTTATAAGTAGCTTCACCTCAACTGAGCGTAACGCGCTGATTTAGAACAAGAACCACAAAATAAACAAAGAGGAAGAAAGACACAGTTTATAAGTTTATTTTCCATATTTTCTGTTCTTTTATCTTTTTTTTTTCTTTTCTCATGGACACCATTATTGGATTTTGTATAACCAAACGATGTGTTGCAGCCTTAATTTCTTTTTTTTTTTCTGAGATCCTAGCGCAGTTTCTTTGGAATTCCTACTCTTTCAAGGTGCAATCCTGTCATTCTTCTTTTGTGACTCGCCGTTTATATCATCGCTGGTGCGTAATGTTTAGTTATTGCTCGCTCACTTCCATTCGAGTCTCCTGCGGTGGAATACTGGCAAGGTTCCCGTTTTTGTGCCGCATAACTTATACCTAACCTATCTAGTGACATGAAGGCTAGAAATGGAAACTTAAGGGCTCGTCGTACTTAGACACATTATTAATGAGAAGATAAAATGATGCCGAAGTAAATGGAATGTTATAGTAATTGTTATGTGAATGTGAAGAGAGAGAAGTGGGTGAAAAGATAACCTGCCGGTTGAAAAGACCCAGTCAGTGGCGAATATAGAGGAGGGGTGGTAAGGGCGATCCCCCCCAAAGTCTGTGTCAGCACCCGCCACCCCCTCGTCACTTGAGTGCTTGTGGTCCACCCCATATCACCAATAGAAACGAAAGAGTGAAACCACTTTGAGCACACATTGACGACGTTTATGCTATAATGAGGTTTTTCTCCTTGTAAAAACAAAAACATAAAGATCACGCCCCCCTCTCAGGTGTTACTTCAGGCGACTGCCTGAATTAATCCAATCAAATAGCAATGATAAGACAATAAATCGGCTACGGTAAAATCTTGTTGAATTACAGCCTCGTTGCCGTCATTGCACGTTAGCTTGCAAATCTTAACGTTGACAAATATTAACGTCAAATCTTGACAAATCTCAACTTTGATCTCGTGACGCATTCATATGCATGCTAGAGCAACAGCGCAAAATAAAGTACAAATGAAGAGAGAAGGCGAACCACAGCCTCCAGTCAAGTTTAACACCGAAACGCTATTGGATGTCTGTCTACCTTTCGCAAAGGTCTGACGTCACAGAAGAACTCGTGACAATGAACATAACAGCGTCGCAGTTACCTTACGTAAGATGATTTGCGTAATAACGCCATTAACCTCGCGTCGTCCTCGTCGCGCAAGTTTGTAATCGAAATTTTCGGCCAAACGTATTCCTCTACACTGCTGTCCCACGTACCTCCGTTATGTACGAAAATACGCGTTCTTTTTTTTTAATACTGTTACTTTGTTTTACCTTCACTGTACCTATCGTTACAGGCTTATCATAAATCCCATCTCAACCGATATAGCTAATCTAGAGCTTCCTCGAATAGCCCTCCTCCCAATATACCCCTACAATAATCTCCTTCTCTATATCTTTCCAGTCTCCTAACTTCCGCATATCTGTCTCGTATCTCCCACTCCTCCTAATTCCGCTTCAAGGCGACAGTGCTCGGTTCACTGCCAACAACCCTGGACCTCCTCTTTCGGACGGTCTCAGACCTGTTCTCTCTCCCGCGCGATGACAACCCGTACAGTTTTATCTATACAGGCCATCGGCATGAGAAGTGATCGAGTATTCCGCGTTGTGTGGTAAACTCCCGCCTTATCGCACGCTCATATCTATTACATCTATTGCCCGTGCTTGCAGACGGGCGCGCTGACTCGGGCCAAGGGCGAGCCGCTGGAGCAGCTGATACTGAGCTACATTATCGGAAACAGCCTGCGTTCATCCCTCAGCATCGCCTACTGCTTCTTCTTCATGTGCGCCTTCGCATGCATCTCAAGGTGAGAGGAAGTTTTCGAATAGGGGCCCCAAAAGTTTGGGGACCCAAAGCCCTTTGCGTACGCACGCTTTGGGTCAAGCAGGAGCGTATAGTTTTCGAATATAGGTCTCCGGTACTTTGGATACTCGCTCAAAATTCTCGGTCATGTCACGTCAGTGGGTGCCATCACATTTGTCTCACGCAAAGCTTTTCCCAAAGGGCATTGAAACTCCCTCGGACATCCGGATAATGTCCGAACGTCCACGCCCTAAGCAGATGTCCACGGGACATCCGAAGGATACTAATGTCGAATTAAATTTTTACATCCGTTTGGCTTTCTCTAGCGGACGCCCCCGGGACATAACGAGAAGGACGTACTGTAATTGGGGCAGCTTTTGGGGCTCCCGCGAAATTCGAGAAACATAGCGTTCAACCTGAAACCTGAAACTCTCCAACCTGAAATCTCACCCCTCCTCGTGTGTATAGGAGGGTGGCGGCCCCCTGATCACCCAACGAGGGTTGCGATTTCGAGTTGGGCGTTCAAACCGATTCCGAAGGAGAAGCGCGAAGTCTGCCACGCACATCTACTCACTCGGAGCTGTGCCCGTAGGCGTGCCCAGTGTTTCTCTTTCAACGGCAGAGGTGGGAGGAGCGTGCTGGCTTTATTGCAGCGCCTCCCCTAAAACACTTTCTGCCCCCCCCCCCGCCCCTCTTAAGACGTTAACACAGACTCCCTTGCCCCCCCCCCATCTCTGTGGGCACGCCTGTGGCTGGTGGTGCTATTATTGTCTAAGGATAAGGGTTATGGCCCCGCAGGTTTTTTTTTTTTTCAGTAATTGCAGCCAAAGGCCCCTCCCAGGAGATCAAGCCTCCTTGGGCGGCTCATGTTGAATTCCGATAACTCTATTTTCCGTATTCACTACCGGAAAGCCAGGGACAAGAGGCAAGCCATTGCAAGAAGCACCCCAAGAGTATATATTGATCTGCGGTTAAATAAAAGCTCCTCGTCAATCAGCGTTTGACCCTGTCCCTTCCTTCTTCATCCCGTCGTATCGCTGCTTGTCCGAAGTTCAGTATGTACCAAAAAACTCGGATTGACACTATATATCAACTGGTACGCTTAGGCATACACTATATAGACGAAAAACTTGGCTGCCACACGGCATTTAAATGAGCGCCACACGTGTAGTGGCAACATGGCACTGTATATCTGTTTAAAAAAAGAAAAAAAATCGTTCAGAATGCTTCTGAACAAATGTGTAAGTGCGCTGCTGGGTTTTACCTCTATAGCCGCACTACTTATACGCATTTAGCCTGTCCAGATCTCTGGAGATAAGCGCTCGAGAGGTATAGGTGAGATATAGTAATCCGATATGGTGAATACTTTTCGCGAGCGATCACTTCTGCCCTCGTATCTCTTCGCACGTAAGGCGCGGGGACGTACGGCCCTGACCGAGTTGCAGTGTTGCCAGCTCACGAGCTAAGCGCGCTGGATGCATGAGAGGTAAAAGGACGAAAAAAGCGTACTCGACTAAGGTGAAAGGCGATATGATCGCGGAGTATTACGGAATGCCTTACGATTTAGCAGTCTCTCTTGCATAACACGACACGTTTTCGACGCCGGTTTTTTTGGCCCCTTTTGATTAAATGGACACTAAAGCGAAACAATAAATTAGTTTATATAGATAAATTATGCCATGAACACTCTGTGGGCGTCCATCTCGTTGCATTAGGTTCACTAATCGCTGAGCAAGCCAATGCCAAAAGCTTCACTTTTGAATTTCCCACCGAAATTTTCGGGTCAGGAGGTCATGGATTTCAAACTGTGTGTGTGTGTGTGTGTGTGTGTGTGTGTGTGTGTGTGTGTGTGTGTGTGTGTGTGTGTGTGTGTGTGTGTGTGTGTGTGCGTGTGCGTGTGCGTGTGCGTGTGCGTGTGTGTGTGCGTGTGTGTGTGTGCGTGCGTGTGTGTGTGTGTGTGTGTGTGTGTGTGCGTGCGTGTGCGCGTGCGTGTGCGCGCGTGTGTGTGCGCGTGTGTGTGTGCGTGTGCGTGTGTGTGCGTGCGTGTGTGTGCGCGTGTGCGTGTTTTAATTTTAGCCACATTGGTGGAACTTATCTTCCTGATGCTTGGCACGTTAACTCTCGGACTTTCTCACAAAACAGTGCACTTCATTTTTTTTTTCGATTACCAATTACGTAGGCCCTAGTAGATGCCATCAAAATCTATGACGTCACGGCAAATGGTGCACGTATGCGCGCGCAGGATTCCCATTCAGAGGGGCGAAGTTTCGTCGCAGTGCCCTGCCTCCCTATTACGTCAATTTATGGGGCTGACTTAGCGCACCCTCCCCCCCCCCCCCCGAATGGCAGTGCCCACTCCCAATTATACTAATGTATATAGTTGACTTTTTCGCCCCCCCCCCTTTCCCGTGCGCGCATGCCTATGCTGGTGCGAGACGGTGGTGTCACCGCCAGCATTTTCTATTCCCACATTTTGTCGCTTACCAAGCATCGTCTTGCAGTGTGCGTGCATCGTGAAAGAGTAGTTTACAAAGTCGCAAAAAAAAAGAAGAAAACCCTTTTTTTCTTTAGCTTTCTTCTAATGCGTAAACGTTTTGTGTCGGTACTTTTAGCACAAAGCCAGGTGGGCTGGTTTAGCAGGCTTGTACCACCCACCCTTTCCCACAATCGCTGCGTGCTCGTGCACGGCCTCCGAGATGGTAGGCGCACGCGCCTGCCATCTCGGAAGCTGTGCTACGCGCTTCCCCAGGTTTCACAGTACAGTGGGCGAGCAGCTCTTAGCGCAGGATTCAGAACTACACCAGCCGTTACACAAGTTTTTTTTGTATTTTTTTTCGTATTGCGGAGCACTTCAGTGGGCTGGCTGTCGATATGCTAACACGGAATCGACCGCAGTTGCCTTCTGATGAAATAAAAGTTTTTTTCCATCCATCCATTGCAACAGGTTCTAGAAATGGCGCTCTTCCAGATCTCGCTGTGACTGCGCTGTTCTTTACGTGCCGGCCTGGCGTTTTATTTACATTTAATGGCAGTGCTGTAATTATTACACAATTTAAAACAAAATAAAATGGGCGAAGAAGTACCCTTCCCGTCAATGGTATCCGAAGCTACAACCTTCGAATTACGCAAACAGCTATACCGTCTCTCTACATGGGCGCATCCTCGAGTACTCTGCAGGGCCTCGCGCTTCCGCCGCATAACTTAAGCACGAGTCTCCAGATGTCGCCACAAAAGGCCACGCAGAAACAGACCGCGCAATCCGATTTGACCAATGCCGAGTAAACCGCGCCGATCTTTTTTTATCTATACAAAGCCCTTACGGAGTTGCCGCATCGCCAGTTTCCCGGGCTAAACGCTCGGATGCGAAGCGAGCGATAAAACACAGATAACAAAGTGATACTAGTTGACGGACTGAAAACCACGATACGATTGTTAGGGGTGCCGTAGTGGAAGGCTCTGAAAATTTCCAACGTGCACTTAAAGCTAAGTATGCACACACCTCTGCGTTTCGCGCACTAAGCATAGTAAACCTACTAATCTATTAGTTTGAACGTGATATCATGCAATTGTGGGCGTGACATGTTTTACGATTTAGTAAGAGGCCTCACATTACGTGCGTATATACATACATATACATATATATATATATATATATATATATATATATATATATATATATATATATATATATATATATATATATATATATATATATATATATATATATTATTGTAGATGCTGCTGCGGCGTTCGGGCATGGGCGCATGCTAAAGGAGGGGGGGGGGGGTACAGAAGAAGAACGAAGTCATAAAAACAGCTGGCCCGCAGCAATAACAAAAACAAATCGTTTACTAACGTTGCGACTGGTGGGTCGGCCTAGGATGCATATGTCATTTATGCATCATCATTTACATTACTGATGAAGGCCCGACCACCGGCTGCACGTCGGTAGACGAATTTGTTCTTTCGGAGACGTACGTGCACGTCAGTTTTCGTATCTAGACAAAACATAATGCGTAATCTAGTTTCCTAAGATGACGCAACGTCGTTATTATTAATGACAAGAAGCGGAGGAACCCGTACAGAATCAACAAAAGAGTCGATTTGGCGTTTCAGGGCCCCTCAAGACCGCACAATGTCCGCCGGTCGCCGTCGTCTACAGCGGATCTAGCGTAGGCGCATGTGAACAAACCGAAACATACAAAAACAACAAATAGTTATGAAAAACTATTAACCAGAACAAATTGAATAAAAGGCCACAGCGTCGTTAAAACAGCGACATCTCTTGGCCCTTCAATCAAAGCATGTGTTGAAAAAAAAACGTTACCAAGGACGAATTAAGACGCTGTTAACGAGAACAAAATAGAAGGACACGATTCATGATTCAACGCACACTCGTTCGCACTGTCATTCGGCATTTAATTTCGTCATCAAATGTAGCGAGGCCCGGTTCAGTGCTCTCCCATAGTAGAGTACCAAGTACTCTAAGTTGTTACCTACTTTCTTCTCATCCCCCCTTTCGTGTTAGGGACGGCTCACTGCTCTCCCATAGTCGAGTTTACGAAGTACCGAAAAAAAAAATGGCAGCATGTCCACGGAGTGAATGATGGAGAGTGGGCCGCCGAAGCATCTGTCCGTCCATGCGTGTGTCTGTTCGTGCGTCCGCACGTCCATCTGTGCGCCCATCCCTGCGTTCGTCCATGCATCCTCTCCTGCGGCCGTCCATGCGTTCGTCCACCTATTGAACACTCCAAGTCGCATCTAAGAACACTCCATCTCGCATCTTGTCATCACATATTCCTCATATAGAAGCACCGCCATCCAGCGGACATTCCAAGGACTGAACTAGAGGAGGCACACGCACACTTCCTTACGGCTTGCGCTTCGTGTTTACTTCCCACCTTTAACCACCTAAAGTTCATGGTATCTACTAGTTCTCTGTATTCATGGCACTGCGGACCGACGCTAAACCTAAACCTTTCTAAACCTTTCTAAAACCTTTCT